GTCTGATTCAGGTACAGTCGACTTTTCTGTCACTGGAATCTAGTGAATAATCTCTATCTCTACCTCGGAAATGAATGAGTGAAACTGTGTGTTTGCCCTGTGACTATAGGAGAAGTTTGCAGTGATGGCCCTGAATGCGTTTGTAATGGAGAGCATGGCATACCTGACAGCAGGGATGATGGACAGGCCAGGACTTCCAGACTGTTCTGTAGAGGCCGCCATGGTCAAGGTTAGATAGCCAGCTCATTACACTTTGCTCATGTTAAACCGGCATAAAATAAACAGCCCATGATGTGTATTCTCTGTCCTCTGACCAGGTGTTCAGCTCAGAGGGAGGTTGGATTTGTGTCAGTGAAGCACTGCAGGTCCTCGGAGGTCTGGGTTATACAAAGAATTACCCCTACGAGCGCTATGTCAGGGACTGCCGCATCCTGCCTATCTTTGAGGTTCTCTGATGATTATTCAATCGCTACAATCAGGGCCATAGTTACACCACACATCATGTGTACAGAGGAGTTCACATTCTTCAGTTATACTCATTTCACAAGTTGAGTTTTTACCGCAACCGAAATAACATTGGAAATCAACTGGACTTGGAATTCTAGTTGATCCAGTTGATTTCCAAGGTTCCAAGGTTATTTCGGTTGCGGTTTACTATGACCTGGATGACTGAGAATCTGCACAGATATATTGAGTTTTTACAGACTGACATTTTATTAAGTAATTTTACAAAAGAAACCATAACAAAGGGGATGTAAAGAAAAGTCTGTTACAACATTTAGACCATCATTCTGGAGTTTGGTTGGTGCTGAGTTAAAAAAAATCCTGTATTTCTAACCTCCAGAGTGAAAGCACAATGTACTGTGGCCCACTTGTTCAGGTGATCCACTCTGTAAGTGACCACCAGGTGGCACGTTTGACTTTGACATCACAGGGATTCAATTGACCACATAGATAGATACTTTACAGGGGAAATTCAGGTATCCAGTAGCAACAGCAATAATTACCAAAATCACAGCACAACAAAATCAAGAATTGTATAAAATCTAGGTCTAAAATACAAAAAAGAAGTATGATGATATGAGTATAGAAATATAAATATAAAATGTTCCAAGTATACAGTATTCATAAGTTATACATAAAGTAAATGTGCATAAAATACCTGTGTGCAAATGCCAATATGTGCAAGAATGTGTGTTACATAACAGTAAGCACTGCAGTAGTATAGTGTCATTGTCAAGTAGGCTCATAATAATATGGAGCTGAGAAAAAACATCATAAGTGCCATTCACTGCTGCACCACCACTTGGTGTATAATGCATGTGAAACTGATAGTGTGCCATTAAAAGCGTGTGTTGTTTGATTTCAGGGAACCAATGAAATCCTGAGGATGTACATTGCTCTCACTGGAATGCAGCACGCTGGCAAAATCCTCACAGGGAAAATAAAGTAAGAATATGAAGGTTGGACTGTATAAAGCTGGAAAACATATAATACTGACACAGTGACAGTACTGGGCACAGGTTTCTGTTTCTTCACGTAATCCCAGATCTACTCCATGATGTAGAGGTCAGGACTCAGGTGCAAATGCTTTGTTCTCCTTGTCTCTGGAGATAGTTCTTTATCACTCTGGCTTGATATTCATGGTCGCTGTTACGAGAATCTAAACACCTAAGGTGCCAAGAACCTTTGCATGTTGCTGTATGATAAGTACAGACTGAGTTTGGTTCAAGTATGATATTTTAACACTGCATTAATCTTGGAGGCAAACCTCCAAAACAATCTGAAATATATATCCAGAAGAGTGCAGTGCTAGGAACAGCTAAGATACTGCATTAATCTTGGAGGCAGACCTCCATGTCAGGTCCGCTCGGCGCGACCTGCCTCTCTTCCGCCTTTCTCTCCTCTGTTCTCTCGACCTGCGGGATCTGCACCTCAGCTGTGTTGCATTCGGTAATTAGCGACTCGTTTGTTGGTGCGCACAGCTGGGGTGCATCCCGCTGATTACATGCCTCCTTATTTATACCTCTGGCAGACGCTCTGTCGTCGCCAGAGCGTTACCTTATTTAACTTACTTACCTAACTCGCATACCCCGTAACAGACCTAGTTTCGTGGTATGTATTATACATCATTTTGTTTTCCATGTTGACAGTTCCTGTGCTGTGGATGTTTTTTTTTTCGTTCGCCAATCCTCCTGGTTAGTTGTCTATTCACCTGTCCGTCCTGATCCTCCCACTGTCCTGGTTTCTGCCGTTAGCTTGTCTACTCCCCTGGTCTACTCGTCCTGGTTTCCTCCACCATTAAACCTCCTTTTTTAACTAGCACCTGGGTCGGCAATCTTCAGTCCTATCTCAGTTCTCCCTCACCCTCCTGGTGAGGGGGACTAACCATAACACTCCAAAACAATCTGAAATATATATCCAGAAGAGTGCAGTGCTAGGAACAGCTAAGATACTGCGCAGGACCCTCAAGCTCCCAGGCCTCTGGTAGAGGGCCTGAGCTTGAAAGATGGAATAGAAGACAGCCCCGAAGTGGGGGGCGAGTGGGGAATTTTTTTTATATATACATATATATTTGACATAACATTTTACAGAGTTGTTAATGTATTATTGAAAATGGTGGCTCAATACATATTTTACCCACTGTATTTATTGAACATGTCACCATTTTTCTCAGTAAATATATTTCTAAAGACACCTTCTTATAGGCCATCAGTTGGGACTGGCTTCAGTACAGGAACAGGGAACATTCTGTACAAGTATACAGGGAGAGGGAGGAGAAATGTCTAATGCATGGGGAGTATGAGCAATTTTTTTTCAGCTTATGAAGTTGCAACACCAAGTTTTGACTTGTGTTCTACTTCATGTGGAACACATTGCACTCTACTGGGGTCAACATATGTTGCTAGACTGACCTCTTTTGCATGCATTGCTGACACTATAGTTTGCATTCCAGTCCCCTCTCTGTACCCCAGGTCTCCCCCCTATGCTTTACCTCCCTTTGTCCAGGATGAACTGTTCACTGCTCAGTTATTACATAACATGTTTTTCTTTGTAGAGAGGGTGAACTGATGGGTCCAAACTCTGGTATAAAATAACATGAGCAGCAGGCCACTCCTTCACTTATCTCAGCATGCTATTTATTGACATCAGTTTTTTTTTCTTTTTGGAATTTGCCCAAGTCAAAATAGTGGCAGACATAAGATGTGCCCTGTAGAATTCAGCTGTGGCTGCAGGGTTTGTGTTTTGCTTTAAGCCACCGCTGTGAGAAAACCTGGAAAAAAGCCATCCTTGGATACAGTACCTAAGCATGTTGTAACTGTGATGAATGTAAATGTTAAACCCAGTCAGAGAAGGAAACTTGTGGCTTTGATCTCAAGGGATCTTGCTTCTATTTTTTTGTGCTCTGATTTCCTAGAAGTTATTGCAGTAGCAGCCTTGATCCCTCCTCTCTGCACACATGCAGAGCCCCCACTTTCCTTCTCAAATCTTCTCTGGTAATGAAACTTGATCCTCCTGGATAGGGATAATGAAAATTAAACCTCCAGATGTGCACCTTAGTGCTTTAGTACTAATGAGACTACCATTTAATCCTGTGAAATTCCAGTCTTTGGTCTCTTGCATTTATCTTTTAGAGCATTTACTTTTATATGTCAAATGAGATTTGTTTACATCAGGTCAAACCCCAGATTTTGTTTTTCTCACTTGTAAACACAGGTACCCGGATCATCTATGACAGGAAGTTTCTATTGGATTGTCGAAACTCCCCTCTTGCCCGAACCCCCCCATGCTGTCTGCCCCCGCTCCAGCTTGTCTACTCCCCTGGTCTACTCGTCCTGGTTTCCTCCACCATTAAACCTCCTTTTTTAACTAGCACCTGGGTCGGCAATCTTCAGTCCTATCTCAGTTCTCCCTCACCCTCCTGGTGAGGGGGACTAACCATAACACTCCAAAACAATCTGAAATATATATCCAGAAGAGTGCAGTGCTAGGAACAGCTAAGATACTGCGCAGGACCCTCAAGCTCCCAGGCCTCTGGTAGAGGGCCTGAGCTTGAAAGATGGAATAGAAGACAGCCCCGAAGTGGGGGGCGAGTGGGGAATTTTTTTTATATATACATATATATTTGACATAACATTTTACAGAGTTGTTAATGTATTATTGAAAATGGTGGCTCAATACATATTTTACCCACTGTATTTATTGAACATGTCACCATTTTTCTCAGTAAATATATTTCTAAAGACACCTTCTTATAGGCCATCAGTTGGGACTGGCTTCAGTACAGGAACAGGGAACATTCTGTACAAGTATACAGGGAGAGGGAGGAGAAATGTCTAATGCATGGGGAGTATGAGCAATTTTTTTTCAGCTTATGAAGTTGCAACACCAAGTTTTGACTTGTGTTCTACAGTAGTACAGTACAGTAGTGTCACTGTCAAGTAGGATCATAATACTATGGAGCTGAGTAAAAACATCATAAGTGCCATTCACTGCTGCACCACCACTTGGTGTATAATGCATGTGAAACTGATAGTGTGCCATTAAAAGCGTGTGTTGTTTGATTTCAGGGAACCAATGAAATCCTGAGGATGTACATTGCTCTCACTGGAATGCAGCACGCTGGCAAAATCCTCACAGGGAAAATAAAGTAAGAATATGAAGGTTGGACTGTATAAAGCTGGAAAACATATAATACTGACACTGTGACAGTACTGGGCACAGGTTTCTGTTTCTTCACGTAATCCCAGATCTACTCCATGATGTAGAGGTGCAAATGCCTTGTTCTCCTTGTCTCTGGAGATAGTT